TGTTGTCTTCAAAAAAAATGTGGTGTTCTCTGCAGAATGCAGCTACTATCTAGGCTATTAGTTTAAGAATTAATACTCTCTAACTTTGGTGAAAAACTTCCATGCTGCTACAGCCTGGTGATGAGTGACCATTCCTGCCCTACCTTTAGTCCTGAGACCTTGTCCTTTCATTTAGCCTCCCCCTTTCAGGGTTGGTTGTGATCTGTTGTTTCCAGCTTGCTCTAGTCATGATCATAGTTGTGGGATTAACATTCCCTCCAAAATATTTCCTTGGACATGGAAAGTTTTTGAAATGTTCAACCTCAGTTCTGTTGCTACTGCCCTCTTGTGATTCCTCCACTCCACCCCCCTTAGTATTACTTACTTCCTTTCTATCTCTCTTCCTGAATAGCGGATCTGTCTCTTAAGCTGCCATCGCTCTGTCTACATTATACATCTTTTGGTTATGCTTCATTCACTTGTGTTGCATCTTTTGTTTCTGTTCAAAGGGATGAGAGTGGTTTTCAAGCCCTTGTGAGACAATAATTTATTTATCTTCCATCTTCCCAGTGTACCTCTGTAGTGGTATGCTGATTTCATTCTTCTAAAGTGTGGACATACTAAATTGAACATATCTTAACCATCAAAGCAGATACACTTACTCCATAAGCTAATTCTCTTTTTGCAGTGCTGCCTTCTTTCAACAGCTGCTGCCTACAGAAGGATGCTGTCAGGGAATTGAACATATATATCCTTCCTTTAGGAAACAAAGCTGGAATACACTGCTTAGTATCTGAAATGTATTTCCTACTCACTCTGTTTCTGTGTGATTACTACCAAGGGCTGAAGAGTCCTCTGTAACAAACTCCCTTGCATTTCAAAAGGAAGAAGAAAGCATAGGCAGTATCCCGTGTCATATGTGCAGTATGCTTGCTGACAAGGCTTGCTAGGCACTTTTTTTTTTAGTAAAAGCTTTTTCTGAAAACATGCAGAGAGCTATGCTTTAGGCTCTGGAAAATTGTGGAGCCTTTAAAAAGTCATTCCCATGTGTTTCCCCACACATCCACATCCACTCCTTTTCGGGTTTGTATTAATCAACAGCAGGCAAGTGCTGTTGATTAGTGCTGTTGACACAGTTTAGAAGGTACTGACTGTATTTAGAAGAGAAACCAGTGCAGAATGCCACGAGATCTATTTTAGAATATTGAACCTGCAAACATATGTGTTTTGTAAAATAATTAGGAAAAAGTAGTGCAAAATTACATTATAATTTATCCTAACCAAGACCAGTGTGTATTCTAAAAGCTGTTTATTAAAAAGTATTGTAGAAATACTTCAGTGGTTCCGTTAGAGATGAGAGTATAGCTTGTGTCATCAGTTTTTCCAAGTGTGTGCACGGGGCAGTGTAGCTACTATGGAAAGAAAAAACAGGTTGTATTTTTGATTCCTGAAGTGCAAGGAACAAAAATCCTCCATTTTAAAATGAGGCGTAATGTGCCTTTTGGCTTCTAGAAAAACGATATTAAGAGTGTGGTCAGCTGTTTGGCATTGGAAGTAACATCTACTTTCTCTTTTTGAAACCACAGCTCAATGATGACTGTAAAGATTAGGATGTGGAGCTCCCCCTCCCAATTCTTTGCCTTTGGTTATTTTGTCCTGGCTTCTGGAAGGACATGAGGACAGAAGCTAATGCCTCTGTGGCAAGGAGTCTTGCCCATGGGCACAGCTGTAAAGGCGAAGATGGGATTCCTCAGTAGAGTGTTTGTTGCTTAATTGTTATGTGTGTGGTGGAGAAACCAGGAAAAGTTACACACACACACACACCCCCTTTCTGTTTTTTTGGCTGGCAACTCTGTCTTTTCTCTCTGACAGTTTAGGGTGTCCCCTGCCCCCTTCTGCTCTCCAGAAAGTAATTCTTACTTTTAATTCCAGGAAAGTTGGAATTATGTTCCAGGTTCCAAGTTCAATTGTGGTTTTAAATAATACTGACAATTGGAAAAGTTTCCTTAATTGTGAAGATCTGAGTAGCTTCCACTTCCTATCTGCAGTAGCAGTGTATTGGTATGGAATTCCTCAGTCTTTCAAAGCCCAGCCTCGCACGTTTATTTATCTTGTCACCTCTTTCTTCTTGTGTATTTTGTGGAGGAGGGGGGCAGGAAGTGATTGTATTGCTAATCATCTTCCAGTTTTTCTTGGTAGCTCTTCAGAAAAAGATTTATTCCAACTTCATACATTAAAAAAAAAAAAAGGAAAAAGAAAAAATCTTTAGTGCCTCTCAGATGTAGCTATCAACTTGAATGGGAGTGTCTTCTGAATCAGAGAAATATTACAGATAATCTGAACTCAGTCTTCTAGACCAGAGAGTTGACTTGGTGGACAGTATTGTGGCCTGTAAGGAGGATGCATTCATTATGGGTGATGCCTTTTGAAGATGGAAGGATGTTCACTGTTGAGCTTGATTCAGCTCAGGAGAGGAGTATTGTGATGCTTGAAACTTAAATATGGAAATGTGTTTTCTTGCTCCGCAGTGAGAAGTGCTGGTGTTTGAGTGGGATGAGTTATCTAGCTTCTGCAGGTCTTCGTGATAGCACATGTTCCATTTGTTCTGAAACAGCTTTATAATTGTAATTGTTTTTTAAATAGTTTTGATAGTGTGCTTACATTCTTGTGCAAAGACAAAGAATATTTCTGCTTCAACGATAGTTGTCTTAATTTTGTTATTAAATATTTTGGATAGGGTACTACCATAGCAGGATGATG